GCCCAAGGAGATGCCTTAGAGTCACACCTCATCCCAGGCAAAGTCCAGTTTACTCTGCCCTCATCCCTCCCATTCTTGTAATACTACAAGAATTGGCCCTTTTGTCAGGGTTACTTCTCTGTTCCTTTGGAACTTTGACAGGGCAAGTGTGCATTTGCAGACCTCCAGAATGTGTTTCTCTTTGTCCACCCAGGTTAGGGGAATAAGAGCAGGATCACTTGTGAGCACCAGACGTAGTGGACCAAGTAATCAGCAAGTAGTCTGGGCCAATTCATCCTGATGTCCACCACCCACCACCTGGCTTTTGTGTCAGGAGGAAACTTAAATAATTTTGCTTTTACTTTTAGTCTGGGTACAGAGAAGGAGTGCAATAGCAAGGACCTAGCTTTACCCTTGTTTTGTAAGTACAACTCCGTGTCTTAAAATCATTTGTTACTCAGGCCACAGTATGTAGGAGTCTGCCTTCCACACCTTTGCTGTTCTGGGAGTAGGGAAGAATGTTCAGCTTGGCATGTAGGTTGGTCTGGGGAGCTTGTTGGTTGAGGCCCGAAACAGCTACACCCACAGTTTGGATCTCCTACCACTCATGGCACCCCAGCCTGTGCCATCTCGACCTCAGGCTGACTTCATCCTGGTGATTGCATTGGGAAGCCTCTCGGATGACTTGGGAGCCCGTTGGTTCACTACCCTGCCGCATGCCACAGAATTTCACACCTGCAGAATCCTTAGCAGAGCCACCAGGAGGGAGCTGTGATCCCCGTCTCACAGCTGCAGTCCGAGGTTCAGGCTAATTAGGGGACTTATCTACAGACCCACAGCTTCTGAATGGTACAGCTTCTCCTCCAGAGCCTATGTTCTTCTGCCCTGCCCTGCCCTGCCTAATGTTTTTCCACTTGGGAGACTGCTACAGCGCAACCTTTCCCTTTGGTTTGGGGTGCTTCAAGTCAGCATCATGGTATAAATATCCACAGCACCACACCCAGTGACGACCATTATCAGTGGTGGCTCATATCTGAGTGCTGGGAAGTCAACCAGGGCCCAGAGCTTTAGTTGGCATGAGTATATTCTATCTTCACAGTAGTGAGCATGAGGATTTCATGCTGTTTGCCCTTACAGGGCCAGAAACAAAGTAAAAAATCCAGTCCTTAGTTTTACAGAGTAGCAAGCTGAAGCTCTGACAGGGCCAGGCTCCGCCAAGCCACACTTCTCTTCAATGCGTTTCCTGCCTGATAGCTGCCACTCAGACTTTGTCATGCTCTCTGCTCATCCTCCCTAGCGCATGGTGGGTGTTGGTCACTGGATGTTGCATGTATTCTGCCAACGCCTGCCCAGGAGGCAGCTGCATCTTGGAAAAGCACAGGCTGTCTGTCACTTTGTCGCTCTCCTTGGGTAGACTTGTGGGTAAGGCCAGTGTTTTAGAAGATCAGGAGAGGTTTAAGGTGTTGATGAAAGCAGTTTAGACAGTGTCAGAAAGACTGGTGGGTTATGTCCTTTCCATTGATGGACTGTTTAAAAGAAAAAACACTAGGCAGGACATAGTGGCTCACACCTTTAATCCCAGCGCTCGGGAGGCAGAGGCAGGTGGAACTCTGTGAGTTCAAGACCAGCCTGGTCTACAGTGAGTTCCAGGACAGCCAGGGCTACAAGATAGACCTTGTCTCAAAAAAACAAAAAAAGTTTGTAATGTTGTAATCTTGTCACTCAGGCTGAGGCAGGAGGATTGGGAGTTCAGAAGAGTACATGCAGTAGAATTCCTGTTGGTATTAAGCAAGATAAAAGTAGTTCTTCAAGTTAACATTGAAAACCCAGTGTTGTCTCTGGGAAGTCTAGCGGATACTGGGTGGTTGGAGGAGGTTCTTTCCTGGGCTTTATAACATGTCTGAACATTTTACTGGAAGGACCTGTGAACTGCAGTGCTGGTAACAAGTAGGATTAACAAGGAAAGCCGGCTCTTGGGAGTCCCGCTGTTTGTTTCCTAAGTCACTTCGTTTGGGACAGGATGTGTCAGCTGGCACATTGTCAACTACATGCCAAGTACACCTTTGTCAGTGCCTGCCCTGCATAATGCCCTACTGGAGAGACTGCTCTAAAGATCCCATTTCTTCTCTTACCTACCCTTAGACGAACGTTTATGGGTCAGCCCAGAGACGGAAAATGAGACCATTTGAAGGCTTCCAGCGGAAAGCTATTGTAATCTGTCCAACTGATGAGGACCTAAAAGACCGCACAATAAAGAGAACTGACGAAGAAGGGAAAGATGTCCCGGATTATGCGGTCTTAGAAATGAAAGGTAGGAAACAAGCAGCTCCTGGGGCCACCTCAGCAGTGTCCTCAAGAGAGTATGCGGGAACAGGCCCCTGGTCTCAGTCTGGGGAAGAACTTTCAGGATTGATGGGGGTGGGTGTCATGAGAGAAGCTAGGTGTAGAGCCCCAGCTGGCAGGCCACCACTGTCTCCCATCTCTGGCACTCACCAGTTTGGAAGAAAGAGGGGCGTGGCTGCACTTGCCACTGAAGCCCCTGAGGTGAGGCTGAGTGACCCTAAGTCCTCTTTGGTAAAGGGAAGGAAAGGATCTTGGTTAG